TATTGGACTTTGAAGATCCATTTACAGCCGATTGCTTTCTTTCCTTTTGGCATGTTTGAAACAGTCCATGTACCATTCTTTTGTAGGGTTCTTACCTCCTCATTGATGGTTGCTTTCCACCCCGGGTGTTTGAGAGCTTCATCAATTGTGTTTGAGACTTGTGTATTGTCAAATGCAGTGACATATGCTCGGTAAGCTGAAGATAGTCTTTCATAGACACAAAGTTGGAGATCAGATGCATTGTGTGTTCGTACATGAGTGGAGGGCGGATGGAACTAGCACCTTTCCTAAAAGCAATTGGAATGTCGGAGTCATCAATCATAGGTATAGTAGATTCATGCTCAAGTGTGTTCGGCAAGTTGACAAAATTCACATTGAAAAGAACGAACATCTTTATTGATAAATAAATTTAGAAATAGTTTTACAAGATACATAAAATTTGGATGGCCGAGATGAAAATGTCATAACATGATTTCAGAATCTTTATTGACACTAGAATTGAAGACAGAATGATGGGTAGACAAATGTTCACAACGAGGTCGTGATGGTGAAGTACCGTTGATGACATAGAGACCCGAACACATCTCAGCATTGCCAATTGTCGTCCCCGAGTCTGCATCCTGAAATTCACGCATAGCAGGTAAAAATTTAGCAATACACCTCAGATCACTAGTCAACTTTTTGATGGATATTCAATTGCAATTTATCGGAGTAGAATGTTTTGGGTGATGCACACGGAGCCAAAGCCGGTGACTGTGGAGACAGAGCCATTGGCAACGCGGATGGTAGAGTTGTCTCTGCATGACATATAGTTATGGAGAAGGGAGGCATCGCCAGTCATGTGATGAGAAGTGTCAGAATCGATGATCCACTGACCGAGGGATCCTTGACTGATTGTGAAGGCATGGTAGAACGTACTTTGATGCGAGAGCAAGACAGTGATATGGTCGGGAATAGCCAAATCTGGTGATTTGCCGATCAATTTGTGCAGCAAATCTAGTTGCTCTTTGCTGAATGGAGTGGGCGCTGGTGCAGGAAAGTCATCGACAGCGACAGCGTTGTTGGCACAGGAGCGTGATCAGACTAAGGCTTCCAATCGGCTGGCTCTCCATGAAGCACCCAACACGTGTCTTTATTATGACATGATTTGCGGCAATGGTCGCATTAGGGACGACCTTTGCTTGATGGGTTGTCGCTGTGTCGAGGTGAAGGAACCCGAGCTACAAGGGCGGAGGAGTCAACGAAGAGATTGGGCGAGGTGGAGATAGGCCCAAGCATGACTTCAACTTAAATTAATTTTCTTTTTTTTTTCCTTTCCATATTTAGGGTGGATATATTTGAAAAAGGTTGTAAATTTGGAAATAGTTGTACGGTATATATAATCTCATAGTTGATGATTTGAAATAAGATTTCAGAGATAATTCTCTCCTTAATTTTCATCACTAATTATATGAAAAATTATGATTTTGTAATTAAAAGGCCTCACAAATGCTCGTTAGTGGTTTGAAGCTTAATACACGAGAGCGGAAATGATCGAGATAGTTGTTGAGGCCGAGAAGGAATTTGAATATCCTTTTTTGCTCGATGATCTGACGGTATAAGTTGGAGTCCGGAGTGCATGACCAGGCATGAACTTCATACATGTCAACCTGCTGCCAGTAACGTGAGAGGGCATTAAAATACTGAGTCACAAATTGATCACATTGGCGAAGATCGTGGAGGATTGACTCGATCTCGAAAAGCTTGGATGTGTTATCTGAGTGAGAGTATGTCTCTAGAGCAGCATCCCAAATACGTGTCGTAGAGAAAAAAATTTTCGACGATGTCTTTGGTCATGAAATTGATTAACCACAACATGACCATGTGGTTTTCTGGATTCCATGTCCGGAATTTTGGGTCATCCTTGGTTGGAGCGACGACATCATCAGTGATATATTCGTCCTTGCCTCTGTCGCAGATAAACATCATGACAGATTGAGACCACTGAAGGTATTTCTGGCCGTTGAGTTTGTGGCCAGTGATGAGGGAGGAAGTGCCATCGATTCCGGCTATACTACAACAAATCATCATAACATTTTAAAATACTCATTAACAATTCCAAATTTTCACTCAACATCAAAAAAGGTCTTAATTAACAAAATTATATCATCTTCCAAAAATATACACTGAATGAGAGGACTTGATTTTATTGACGAAAAGAGGGGTATAAATACCTATTACAAGACTACTGGTAATGAAAACAATAAAAACAGAATACAATAGAAAAAGAAAGGAATAATAACAAAATATAAGAGACAACTAATTTCTCTAATTTAAGGAGAGAATTAAATAGAGATTCCCAAGATCCTTCATATAATTTATAACCCTCTAAATATAGAATTATAATAAATATGAAATATAATAATTAGTATTTTCGAGATCTTTCAGCATACCTTTTTCACATGGGTGGCCAATGACTTGGTCGGAGAGAAAACTGAGTAATATGCTACTTCTAAAATTACTCGAAGCTCTGAAAAATATGTGACCAATGTTGATGATAGCAATTCCCAACTAGAGGTGTCAACCTTTTTGAATTTGGTTCGTAGTGTTAGTTGAATCGATTATTACATTACATTATTTGTAGGCGAATCTTCGAGATTGCAGCAACAACTGGATCCATGGAGCATGGGGTGCCCTTCCACGAAGAAAGATGCTTCCAATATCATGCTATTGCCACTGTCGTAAAACATGTACAAAAACCGGTCATATTAAGGCTTGTAGTCCGAACTTGAGCAACAATTGGCCAGATCAAGGTGTTTAGTGGGCCTATGAAAAATTCCTTAAGCAAACTAATAAAATGATAAATCAATCGAATTTTAGCATTTTTTTTTAAAATTTATTATATATATATAAGCATTTAACCAAAAAAAAATACAATCACTTACATTATTACCCAAGAAATATGCACTTGCAGGATTTTATTTCTTCTCATATTTTTTTTATCACATAATATTTTATGTTTTCTAAAATATATTATATAAATGGCCAATTTCAAGACGGAGAAGAAAAATATATTCTCTTTTCTTGAATACAGGCTTTTGCCGATAAAAAGGAATCAAATGATTCAAGTGGAGTTTTTTGTCACATATCAATAAGAACTTTAGGACATCATAAGTTTATAAAAATACTATTACTAAATCGTTTTACATGGACTTGATCAATAGGAATTAATGAGAGTGAACTGTTAAAGAGCTATTCTAGCATCTCCCATGCTTCTTCAAATTTCAGCAAACATTTCATCAGGATATAAAGTTCAATCGTTGTCCATTTTATTTAAATCAATTCACCTTCATAGATAAATCTAAAGAAAACTTCATAATTATGTTCACTATGCTCTGGTCAAATATTACTTAAAACCCTAATTTGATGTCTTCTCAAAAACAGCATTTACAATATTTTCTTGGTGCATGCATCTTAAATCATGCTTAGAGTTGTTTCATACCATAAATAAATAGACCTCAAAAATTGACAATGAAGTCCATTTTCTATGCACAACCTCATTTTTTAGAGCGAAAACTGTGAACTATACAACTGTATAAATTTTCTTTTCCAGCCAGCTCTCTCAAAATTTTATTCTCAAAGAGAAAAGAGAACAACACTTTGAGCTTATTAAACTGCAATTCTCTTGCCATAGCTCGACGCCCATTGCCGCCAATTACACCTTAATTCACACCTCAAATCATGATTTTTTTTTATATTTTACGGAAAAGTGATATATATATATATATATATATATATATATATGATACGTCACCAACAAATTTTCATCATCTGACACAAATCTCGAAGCATAACATAAATCTCAAGACTATATTTTAAGCAAGAAATATTTAAATATTGATAAAAAGTCATCCAGAGCTCCGATTTCAACAAACTTGTAGTCAAACTGACCGGCTTAATGAGACAGACATGATGATATGAAAATTAGTCTAATTTGAGTTAAATCAAACTCAAATCAAGTCATTACACCACCCTTAAAAGATTTCTGGACACATTTGGAAGGAAAAACAGATATCGTTATTGACAATTTTAAACTCGAATCAAGCGGCTCGACAAGACAAACCCAACGATACCAAGATCACTTAATTCTGACATCGTTAAGACACTCAAATATTCATTAAACACGATATGATCAGAGAAAACTCTCTGGACCGTTTGATCAAAATGATTGATATTCCTGCATTAATTGTACCTAGAACACTATAAATAGACCCCCACCACTCACATGAGAGGAAGATGAAATTTAGAGAGAGAGAGTTTGAGACCTTGAGGAAAAGTTGCAGCTCAGCATCACCGCCGACCGCCGTCGACCACCGTCGATCGTCGTCGACCTCCGTCAATCCTCATCCACCAGCACTAACCACCATCGATCACCTCCAACCAGACACCGTCAGTCGATGTTATAATCTGAAAAATATAGTTACATTTTTCCGTCTTTGAAACAAGAGATTTCCGTAATCATTAATTAATAGTGAATTTCCGCAACTGCCGCAACTGAGCCAGCTCCCGTGGTTTTTTCTTTACGGGTTTTGCACGTAAAAATTTCTGGAGTAATCACCGTTTTTTTCTCTTTCATCTATATGTGTGCTGAACTTTCGACAACGCTAAGATAATAGCACGCATATATATATATATATATATATATATATATATATATATATATATATATCAAACATATATATAACTAAGAGTTGACTTCCGTTCTCGCTGTAAGAACTTCATTTAGCTTTCCCCGACCTTACAATGCAATTACGCACTAATTCTTTTTCAAGTATAAATTTCAAACCTTTATATGCAAGACCATGACCTACAGCCGACTTCCGTTCTCGCTGTTAAGAACTTCCTTTAGCTTTCCCCGACTTTACAATGCAATTACGCACTAATTCTTTTTCATCAATATAATTTCTCGTAAGGCCAAATCCATTCCAACTTAAAGTCATGAGACCTCAGAGCATACTTTACTGAAGAATTAATAGTGAGTTGACTGGACCGTCGGGGCGTTCCCTCCCCTTCCCACTCCATTGTAACTTCTTAGAAAACAACCACGGAACCTCGCAACCCTTTCACTCACTCTCCGCCCAACACCCAACGCCTATAAATTCTCCAATTTGTCACACAACCTCTCACTCACAATTCCAGCAACCAATCAAATTAACCAACCTTCCCCCATGGCCTCATCTCCACTCCACTTCTCCGTTCGCCGGCGACCGCCACAGCTGGTGCCTCCAGCTTCTCCTACGCCACGGGAGCTCAAACGGTTGTCAGACATTGACGACCAGGAAGGCCTCCGCTTTCAGATACCTGTCATCCAATTCTACCGACACGAGCTTGCCATGGCCGGCCAGAATCCGGCAGCCGTCATACGTGACGCCCTCGCTCGAACACTTGTTTTCTACTACCCTTTTGCCGGCCGGCTCCGTGAAGGAGACGGCAAGAAACTATTTGTTGATTGCACTGGCGAGGGTGTTCTGTTCATTGAGGCCGAGGCTGATGTGAAGCTCGAGGACTTCGGTGATGCCCTGCAGCCTCCATTCCCCTGTCTCGAAGAGCTATTATTCGACGCTGAGGGAACCTCCGCCGTACTTAACACTCCATTGCTGTTGATCCAGGTTGGTGCCTACGTCAACGTTCTTGCGCTCCGATCTTTAACCACTATGGAATAAAAAAAAGAACATTTTTTTAATATATTTATAAATTTAATGTTTGTGTGTTATAGGTGACCCTGCTAAGCTGCGGGGGATTCATCCTGGCCCTCCGGCTAAACCACACCATGTCCGACGCGCCGGGACTAGTTCAGCTAATGACGGCTGTGGGAGAGCTAGCTCGCGGATCGTCATCGCCTAGTGTTATTCCAGTCTGGCGCCGAGAGCTCCTAGAAGCAGGGCCGAGTCCAGCTCCTTATTTTCCCCACCACGAGTACGAACAGGTCCCCGACACAGAGGGCACCATCATCCCTCTTGACGAAATGGCTCACTGCTCTTTTTTTTTCGGCCCCCGCGAAATAAGGATCCTCCGTTCTCGCCTGCCTCCGCAGCTCCGTGGCGCTTCTTCAACCTTCGACATTCTCACCGCCTGCTTATGGCAAAGCCGCACGCGGGCCCTTCAGCCAGCAGATCCAAAGGAGAAATTCCGTATCATCTGCATCGTCAACACCCGCGGCCGCTTTAACCCACCTCTGCCTTCTGGCTTCTATGGCAATGCCTTCGCTTTCCCAGTTGCTATAGCTACGGCAGGGGAACTGTGTAGCCGCCCCCTGGATTATGCGGTGGAGTTAGTGAAGCGGGCAAAGTCGCAAGTTTCAGGGGACTACCTCCATTCTCTGGCTGATTACATGGTGATGAATGGTCGTCCGCATTTCACAGTGGTGCGGACTTATGTGGTATCTGACGTCACGCGTGCGGGGTTTGGTGATGTGGATTTTGGTTGGGGAAAGGCGGTGTACGGCGGTCCGGCTAAAGGTGGGGTGGGAGCGATTCCTGGCGTTGCCAGTTTCTTTGTTCCTTTTGTTAACGCCAGCGGGGAAAAGGGAATTGTCGTTCCCGTTTGCTTGCCGCCGCCTGCAATGAGAAGGTTCGCCGCAGAGATACAGAGGCTCCTCTCCGCTCAATCTGGAGGAGACGAACGAGTACTGGAGTGTATTAATGGTACGGCACCCTTCTTACTCTCCCCTCTGTAATGATTCTGGCCGCCAATGTTTAAAAAATAAAATCTACACCGCACTGCTATCAAGCTTTTCTAGGGATGTAATTGTTATTCTAATAAAATCATAATTTTTAATATTAAAATTATTGGCGTTCGATATTTTGTTCGACAGACTGACTGCTGAAGTTCATTGATGGAGGCAAAAATGGGATAAAATTTGGACTCAAAATCATTCATTATATTAACTACGGCCAAAAGTGCAAAGTTACAAAATATGAAATATAGACATTACTTTGCTATGGGGGAGCCAAAATTAGCTTCCAATTCCAAAGACTGCAACTAGGGGTGTAGATGAGCAGAGATGCCTCATAGGCCAGCACTAACTTGACTCTCTAATGAGATAGTGAGTTGTTTATTGAGCTGTAACCCCAAGCTTCGACTCAAATCAGAGCATGTCAATATTGGAGATGTAAATCACATAAGCTGATTCGAAAAATCTGAGGTGAAATTTTGAATAGTAAAGTTCAAAACATGATAACAAAAAGGACATCATATTTCACATGAAAAATCCCAGAAAGAGAAGAAAAATCACCGAGCCACATTTTATAACTTAATATTGTGCAACAAATAATAACATAAAAAAACAAAAAAAACATAAATTATATGTGAAAACCAAGCTGGAAAAACCCACTGTGAGATGATGAGAAATCACTATATCAAATATGAAATTACAAATTGAGAGCCTTGGACACATGAAATAAAAAAGGAAAAAGTGACTGTCTTTGTACACAACAAAAGAATGTATATATAGTCTTAGCAGAACATTTTTAAAGGAAATAGTTAAAAGAAAACAACGAAGCAATAACATGTGGATTGCAATTTAAAAAATATTATAAGATTGATCAAATAGTCGAAGCTTTCAATTTGCACGCGCATGATTTCCTTCTAAAGCCTCAATACACGTGCTGATAGTTTCTTTATAAAACTTCAATCCACATGCTCATAATTTTCTTATAAGATGATAAGCATGATCAACAAAATTTGGGTTACAAATTTAGCCGTCTCCATCTTGACATGAATTTTCAAATATGCAGAATAGAGCTTTCTCCACCTTTTTTACAAAATTTTAATGATCAAGAATGAATATTGACAAAATCGCAGAAACATGTCTATAGATAGTGTCTTGGGCAACATATGCAAAATTATCGTAGGAACTGATCTTGCTTACAACAATATCACCACGAGTAATAACTTCATGAATAAAGTGATAATAGACATCAATGTGTTTGGTTCTCTCATTAAGAATGAGATTTTTATTGAGACAAATATCACCCTGACCATCACACATTTGTGTGGAGATCTTCAAATATTAACTAAGTTCTTCAAAGAGACCTTTCAAACAAAGAGCTTCTTTACAAGTTTCATTTGTTGTAATGCCCTCAGCTTTAGTTGTAGATAGTGTTAAAATTGTTTGTAAAGTGGCCTTCTAGCTAATCACACAACTACTAATATTAAACATTTATCCTGTAAGTGATTGACTTCTATCGAGATGTCCAGCAAAATTAGAATTAATATAGCCAATGTCTTTATTTGTAGTCCTCCTGAAATTCAAACAAGCATATTTTGTTCAATATAAATACCCAAGGATCCACTGAATTCCTTTCTAATGTTATTTTACTGGATTACTCATATATCTACTAACTACACTAACTGCATTAGACAAATCTTGACGAGAACATACAATGACATACGTGAGAGATCCTACTACATTGAAATATGAAACTTAAGACATATGCTCCATCTCTTCATCTGATTGTGAACATGTATTGATGAGAGTTTGAAATACGCATCTATTGGAATGCTGACAGGTTTGGCAATCTACATATTGAACCTTGAAAAACTTTATCAACGTACATTTTCTAGCTCAGAAATAACTTACATGTATTTCTATCTCTATGAAACTTTTTGTCAAGTATTTTCTTTGCAACTTTCAAATCTTTCTCCTCAAACTCGCTATTAAGATATGCTTTTAACATTTTATTGTCTTATTTATTCTTAGCAACTATCAACATATCATCGACATATAAGAGCAAGTAACCAAATGATTACTTATGATGTCTCTTGAAGTAAACACGGCTGTCATAGCTACTTCTTTTAAACTCATGACCGATCATAAATGAGTCAAATTTCTTATATCACTACCTACGAGACTGTTTCAAACCTTAAAAAGATTTTTTAATAAACGAACATGATCTTCTTTTTCTGTAACCATAAAGCCCTCAGGCTGCTCCATATATAAGTCATCTTCAAGCTCTGCATGCAAAAAAGCATTCTTTACATGTAACGGCTCAAGCTTAGGAAAATACTTAATAGCAATATCAAGTAAAACTTGAATTGAATTGTGGTTGACCACCAAAGAGATTACAATTGTAAAGTCTACACCAAGAATTTGACTGAATACATTTACAACAAGTTTAGCTTTATATCGGGCATCTTTGACTACTGATGTTCTATTTTGCCTTCTTAGGCATCCATTTACAGTGAAATATTTTTTTTATCTTAAAGAAACTTTCAAACTCCTCTTACATAACAATAATTCACTTACTAGAGCCAATTGAATTCTTCACCACACTTGATACATTTAGTTACATTTAGAGTATAAACAACCAAATTGGCCTCAACATACTTCTAAGGCAGCTTAGATTCTCTTCTTTTTCTATTCTTGGCAATAGAATATTGTGATGGTTTCTATTGTGGTGTTGGGAATATAGGATCACCATGATATCTAAATTTGAATCAGAAGTTATGCCTAAAGACGTACATGTATCAAAATGAAGCTCCACTTATCTACTAGACATCTCCTTCCAATCATCAACCTTTTATGCTGTGGTAAGTGTTATATGTAACATAACAAACTCATCAAATATGCTAATGATCACTTTCTTAGTTTTCGGGCATCACAACTTATAACATTTAACTTCAGTTTCATAACCAATAAATACACATATTATAGATCTAGGCCCTAGTTTATCATTTTAATATAAGCATAAGTATAACCATTAACTATTCTTAAATTAGAGTAACCTGTAGGTTTACCTGAACAAATCTAATATGAAGTCTTCTTTTCAATAGCAATAGAAGGAGAGTGATTCATCTAGTAACAAGCTACAAAAGCAGCTTTAGCCCAAAATAACTTAGGTGGCTTGACATCGGAGGGTATGCAAAGAACCTTCTCAATTATGGCATTGTTCATTCACTCTGTCCCACCATTTTGCTAATGTATGTGACAGACGGTGAAGTTTCTCATAATTTCTTTTGATTTACAAAAGATATTGAATTCTCTTGAAAAAAACTCTAACCCATTGTCAATGTGAAACGTTTAATCTTCATTCTAGTCTACTTCTTGATTCTAAGCTTTCACTCATTAAAAGTGGTAAAAATATTGCATCTCTATTTCAAGAAGAAAACTCAAATTTTTTTTAGAAAAATCATTAATGAAAGTCAGCATATATTTGGCACCATCATCAGATAATATTGTAGATGGTCCCCAAAGATCATAATATATGTAGTCTAATATTTCCTTGGTAATGTGACTGTTAATATTGAACTTAACTCTTTTTTGTTTCCCAAACACACGACACTAGTTATAAAACTTTAATTTATTAATATTTTAACAATTTAAAACGTCTCTTCTGTTTACTTCGACCATCTTATTCTCACTCATATGCCCAAAACATAAATTTCATTGTAGAGCTTTATAAAACATATAGTCTAACAACCTTATTTTGTCCTTTCGTCATAATAAGAGAGCCTTTACCAACCATTAAAATTCCAATTCCACTAGAGTACTTATACCCTTTTATATCAAGAGTACTTAAAATAATTTAAATTCATTTTCAGATTTGGGATATGTCTCACATCTTTGAGTGTTTTGATGAATCTATCACATCTTGATTCTAATCGTTCCAACAATAATAATCTTAAATGGGTCATTATTTCTCATTAATACGGTACCCTGCGACACTATTTCATATGTTAAAAATTAGTCTCTATTATGAAGCATGTAGGCTGAATCAAAAATCCAATCGTCATAGGTTCACTATCAAAGAAAACTAGAAGTTCACCTTCACTGCAACTTCCTTATTAAACAGGCTTCACTAAAATGATCTGATTATTTGCTCTTTTAATTTGAAATTACCTTTTTTTATTCTCCAAATCATAACATTTAATTTTGATGTGCCTCTTTTTCTTACAATAATTACAAAATTTATCATTATTCTTGGAAATTGATCTACTCATTGTATCAATACCAAAACTCCTCTTTTGAGTTCTACCTCAAACGACAAGCCTTCTCCTTAAGCACCAGGTTCATCCACAAGCAGGTTCATCCACAAGCAGGTTCATCTTCTCTTTAGAAAATAAATCATCATATACTTTATTAAGAGTAAGTGTCTCTGGTTCAAACAAGATAGTTCATCCACAATATGGCATCTCTAAACATTGTATATAGTAAGGCATTGAGCACAACATGATTAATGTCAACTCTTCTTTGTCATACTTAACTTTCATGACTTCTAAATTATAGATGATTTCTTAAAGATAGTTAAATGATCAATAATGAATAGACTTTTAGTCATCATGTGAGAGTAAAAATGCTTCTTCAAGTGCTACTTAATTGTTAGACTTTTCATCATGTACAATTGCATAATTTCAGCTATAACACAATAATGGTCTTCTCCTTCAAAGCAACTTATAGAATTTAATTTGATAGATGAAGATGAATTTGAGAAAGTGAATTTTGATCTTTAAGTTGCTTCCTTAAACATCCATAATGAGGTAATCCGTTGAAACTCTAGATCCATCTGCATTAAGACAGCTCACATCTTAATCTGTCAAAGCTAAAATCTAGTGTTATGATCTAAAAGTGGGATGTCATACTTCATTGTTGCTATTGTTGAGATCATAACTTAGCACTGATATCATTTTTTGTACTTAATATTAAATTTATGCAACAATTAATGAGATAAACAAAATAAAGAAGACAGATTTTACGTATAAAACCCAAGATGGAAAAAACCACGGGCAGTAGAAAAGAAATCACTATATCAAATATGGAATTATAAATGAAGATCCTTGACCAACATAAAATCAAAGCAAAGAAAAGTGAGTGCCCTTGTGCATAACAAAAATGAGTTTTTATATTTTTAGCTGGACCTCTTTAAAGAAAATAAATTAAAGAAGCTAATAAAACAATAACAAAGTGATTGCAATCAAGAGGCTATAATAAGATTGATCAAATGGTATAAGCTTTTAATCCGTGTGTTCATAGGTTCCTTCTAAAGCCTTAAGTCATGTGCTCACAATTTTCATCTAAAGCTACAATCTGAATGCTCTAAATTTTCTTATAAGACGATAAATAACACCCAAAAAAATTGGTGCACAAATTGAGCACCACATGACAATACTCTAAGAAATCCATTATGAAAAAAATAAAAAGAATTTTATAAATTACAACACACTCAAGCTTCTCCATACTTTGAAAACTCCAGGGCACTCCTCCCCTCTCCTTTGCACAATAGAAAATCAATATCTTTCACATTTTTTCAACAAAATGAAAGCTCTAAGTGAAAAACAACTCAATTTAGTTATTAGCACCGGGGCATTGCAATGATGACACCACAATACTCTAAAGGGGTGCTACATAAAGGTGTTGCAATATTGTGCTCTTGGGTTCTGAACTTAGACCGGATACAACGACGTTGTCTTTCCGACGCTACAGGTCACAATAAAGCTTGATCAGTGAAATTGAGAACTCTAAGTGAACAATTTATTAACACAATCAGAGTCCACATAATAAGATTCAAGGCCCTCATTTTCAATTCTCCATTGATTCCAATGATACTTGCTTCCAATCAAACCCTAGTACTGTCTTACGAACTTCTATTCTTCTCCAAATGGCAACAATGGTTCCAGTGAACTGCCATCGCAAGTTTCTTTAATACCCACTCATCATGTCGAGTCGACCCCCATCATGAGTTTAGTTAACGGGTCCTCAAACCATTCTACCGTGAGTTTTCATTGTGAGTTGAATTTTCGTCCTTGATGCCACCTCCGACATTATCCGATTGTGACTTCTCCAATGAACTACCATTGCAATCATGCCATCTCATCAAAATTATTGTCATTGATGCATTCTCCCACTTTGGCTCAAGTCAAATATTATTTGAACGAGCCAATTTTGTGTTTTTCATAATGAATTTGGTTTACTCACTTACACTCTTAGATGAATATGTACCTCTGGATGGCACCCAAACCAACTCAATTCAAGGTGGAGGCTTGTACCATCTTCAAAAGAACTTGAAACAGAAAAATTTTTGCTCGTTCCCATAACGAAAGTTAAGTATGAGGCAGCATTTTGATTTGAAATTTATAAATATAATTCCATTCTGAATACTATACATTGAGGATATTATCTTGAAGGAAAATTTAGTTGCTAAGAAAAGAATCAATTATGTCATTTGGTTGAAATATTAATCAATGCATCTCTTATTAAAAATAATTTTGGCTTTAAAAAAATAAATGTTTTTACCTTTGTACACACACACACACACACATTCTAAACAACAAACCTTTGAGAATAATATTTTAAATTAAAATGTTTCCTGGTAAGATAAAGATTCGAATGAGTTGAGGATGAAATAATTTTTCACTCACGAAAATATCGTCTCACACTGTAAAGAATCAACCATGAATTGAGATAGGAATAAATAAGACTATATTAAAAAAAAATTATTTTTGATTTAGAATATAATCATGGTTACATTTAGGGCTGTGAAAACGGCTCATTGTTCGTGAACAGCTCGTGTTCGGCTTAGTTAAGAAGCTTGTGCTTAGCTAAGTTAACGAGCCGAACTAGAACAAAGATTTGTTAGTTCGTATTCGGCTCGTTTTGGCTCGAAATACTACTCATCACTTTTATATA